GCGCCAGAGACCGCCTGAGGCCAAGGCCAGCGCCACTGCGGCACCCGCGCCGACGCGCGGTCCGCAGTCTGAGGGCGGGGCTCGCCTTCGCAGCCATGGTCACGGTCATGCTCACGCGGCTCAGCAACCCGGGACAAGAGCTGTAGTTCCCTTCCCTTCCTCTTCCCCTGCCTCCCCCAGCTTCTCCTCCAGCTTCTTTTCATCTTCTCTCGGTGGATGGATGATAGGTAGGTAAATAGATGTGTATAAAGATATTTATCCAAGCATTGTTTGTAAAGAGGTAAACATTTGAAACCACAGTTAAGGAATAAGAAATTAAGGAAACCCAGGTAGACAGTCTCTCGAAAAATATGAGACCATTAAAAAATTATTTATCACATAGAAGGCCCTGGCCACCCGGAAAAGTGAAAGCAGCTTCTCCACATGCTTTATTCTCACAGACACGCTGATATGCTGGAACAATCTGGCTCCAGGAGTATTAATATACTTTTTTGAGACTGTCTACAAAATACTGTTTTGTAAAAACGATGCCTTTAAATAGACATTGATGGGTTATATTTGTTTTATAATAATCATATACCTAATGTTCGATTGTGATTGATTTTGAGATTTATGTATATTTATAAGCCTGTCCTATGTGACTTTTTACTCTAAGATGCATTGTACATTACTAATAAAAGACATGAATTTCTATTTATGTAAAGGAATTGTAGCAATAGTTCTAGATGCTACCTAAATGATTGTTCTGTCCATTTTGCCATCATAAATACTTTTATCTTTAGATGGTTATGTTACAGTCAAAATATATTACTCAGATTTAAACTTTAAAATATAAATTCTCAACATAGTTTGAAATTCTTCCTGTTGATATAATTAAAGTTAGTTTATAATTCCTTAAAAAAATATTTATCAAGGCTATATAACATCATGGGAAAATAATTTTCATATACCATTAAAGTGAAAAATGCAGGATACCCACAGCTCTCTATGTAACAATAGCAACTACACACAGCAAAGGAAAGACAATCAAAACTTCCTACAAACATGAACAATAGTTCTGGACAGGTATGGTCATGCTTTTCCAGATCTTTCAAATTTGTAGAGTGTGGCTAAATTCATACTAAAATAAAGTGAAGACTTCCCTTTTTATAAATAAAGGGAAGCAAGCTGCACCCCACACTGTGGCCGGGCAGGAAGAGGAGCCAGTCATAGCTTGAGGAGGGAACAGGGGCTCTTCAGTAAAACCACACGCAGATGTAGCCCCGCTCCTTAACAATCACACACAACAAACCTAAAATCTTACTCCATATGCCTCTTGTAATAATCTCTTGTTAACATTTCTCTGCCCCAAATAAAATCTCTCAATTGATCTAATGAATTAAAGAAATCTATTCCTGCCTGGCATTAGAAATCTGTATATATTGACCCTGGGTTCCAGTTTCCCAGTAACTATATATGCACATGTATCAGATGAACAAGGCAGCCATCCATTCCCAAATCCTCCCCTGGCGGATGGTGCACAGGGGGAATCCATGCACCTGAGCCCTGGGCCTGGCGCCCAAATGGGAAGCGCAGAGCACCTGGGTTGCAGAGGCAAGCCCAGAAGCTTTTGGTGTAATAGATGGAAGTGAAACGAAAAGGCACATGGGTAACATGTGCCAGGCACAGAGCTGAAATATTGGCAAACTGACAAGCAAGGTTTTAAAATCCACAATTAAGGCTGATCTAGTGGTGGTAAATTCCCTCAGCTTTTGCTTGTCAGGGTAAGACTATTTCTCCTTCATTTTTTGAAGGATAGCTTTGCTTATTAAGACACAGAAAGAGCCGGGCTTGGTGGCTCAGCCTGTAATCCCAGCACTTTGGGAGGCTGAGGTGAGTGGATTGCCTGAGCCCGCGGGTTCGAGACCCGCCTGGGCAACTTGGCGAGACCTCATCTCTACAATAAATTTTTTAAAAATTAGCCAGGCGTGGTAGTGCGCACCTGTAGTTCCAGCTACTTGGAAGGCTGAGGCGGAAGGATCGCTGGAGCCCAGCAGGTCGAGGCTACGGTGGCCGTGAGCGTGCCACTGCACTCCAGCCTGGACAACAGAGTGAGACTCCAACTCAAAAAAAAAAAAAAATTGCACAGTATTAGGGGTTTTTGCTAAATAAGTAGACTCTAGAGGCTCTTGTCACAAAAAAGTAACTGTGAGATAAGTACTATTAGTCTTCACTATATTAACCATTGTACTATTGATATGTATCTATGTATCTGTATGTATCCCATAGGATGATGTTGTAAACCTCAAATATGTACAATAGCATTTATTTTAAAATAAAATAAAAATAAACCACACACTTAATTTCAAAGTACAGTATATAATACACTTTATGGTCACTCTCAGGCACTGCCCAGGCTATGGCCCCTAAAACGAGCTTCCATTTGATTATATCGGGCTCAGGATGGCAGGTGAGGAATTCAAATTCAGCACTGACTAAGTGCTCCCACGTGGGTGCCGGAGGACTGATTTAGCAGACAGCGCCACATGGAGGAAGTGTTGACATCTTCCATCCAAATGTGAAGGGGCACTCTGACTTCGGCCTAGTAACTGACTAAGGTAGAGAAAGAGAGATTTACAACTCTGGCTACAGTGGGGCTGAAACTGAGCTGCTGGAAGAGGCTTTACCCCTAGAACACACTTGTCTGCTTGGCCTGGGGTGGATCATGACCTGGACTCCCTGGGGGACGGGGAGGAAGTGGCAGCACAGTTAACTGGGGGAGTGGAGGTGAGAAATGGAAGGTGTCTCCATTTTTTTTTTTTTTTTTTGAGTTGGAGTCTCACTCTGTCGCCTAGACTGGAGTGCAGTGGCCGCTCCCGGGCACCGCAGCCTCGACCTGCTGGGCTCTGGCGACCCTTCCACCTCAGCCTTCCAAGTAGCCGGAATTATAGGCATGCGCTACCACGCCCGGGTGATCTTTTGATTTTTTGTAGAGATGAGGTCTCGCTGCCCAGGTGGGTCTGGAACCCGCGGGCTCAGGCAATCCACTCACCTCAGCCTCCCAAAGGCGCGGGATTACAGGCTGAGCCACGCTGCCTCCATTTAACTCCCCTCACTGTCTTCCCCAGTCAGGCCTCTCCTGTGTTCTGTGTACCTGACATGTCCCTTCTCTTCCAACTTGTCATTGTGACAGGAATAAATGGAGGGATGAGTCAGGACCCAGGGTGACTCAGGAGCTGGAACAGAAGGGCTGGACCTCTGTCCCTAGTATTTCTGGTTACTGGCAGCGGGGCAGGAGACAAGTCAGACCTCTGTCTACAGCTATTCAACAGGTGGCTGGGAGGAGGGCAGTGAGGGGATCAAGAGGTGACATTTGCCATTTTCCCTCCTCCCACTAGATTTCTTTGGCTTAGATTTCTGCTTTATGTCCCAGACCGTCCTGACACCCAGCCTTGCTGATGTGGATTTTTCAGGTCAGCCTGGGCTTCAAGAGTGTCAGCTCAATGGGTCAGCCAGCCAAGCCCCAGAGAGGGTCGTGGAGGGGCTGGTAAGCCTAGCCTCACAAGTGTCAGCTCTAATGGGCTGGCAAGCCAAGCCCTAAGTGTTGCAATTGGAGGAGGGGCTGGCAAGCCTAGCCCCCAGGGTGTTGGCTCTAACGGGTTGGCAAGCCAAGCCCTGAGAGTGTTGCTTGTTTGGTGGGCTGGGAGGCCTAGCCCCCCGGATGTCTCCACTTCGGAGTCTTGCCTTCCTCCGGCATCTATCCTGCTTCAGCTGGCTCTGTCGGCTGGCAAGCCAGCCTCTGGGGTGCATGATTTTTCGACTCTGACGATCTTTTGCAGCTCTCCAGGTTGCAGCTCTCCAGGTTGCAGCTCTTCAGGTCAAGGATCTTGTCTCATGCCTAGGAGGAAGGTGAGAAAGTTGGATTTATTGAGGACAGAAAAGCTCCCACAGTGGGAGGGAGCACGAAGGGGTTGCCCATCTGGGGCCGAAAACCTGGTGCTTATTTAGCCCTAAGTCCAAGCCGATTGGCTAGCACTAGCTGTGAGCTGTTGCTGTTCTGATTGGTTGCTTTTCAATCCCAGCAGTGAGTACCTAAGCGCTAGCTTGAGAGGCTGGCAGGGAGCTTATATACCAATGCTGAGCCTGAGAGCCTTGCTGTGAGTTCACTATTGTTACCAGAGGACCCACCTTTCTGTCTGTCTAGCCTTTCTCTAGCTATCTCCTGTCTCATTCCCCTCTCTGGAGTAGTAACCCTAACTGCCGTTAGGGCGTGAGGATGATGACTAATCTGGCTACTTCCTGCTGAACATGAGTGACAGACATATGGGGATGGCAGCTAGGGTTCCTCCAGCGGGCAATCTAAAGGTCCTTATAGAAGCTTGCATACAATCCCATCTGCATCTCCATTTGGAATTTGATGGCCTCTAGGCGATAAGAAACAAACCTTACAAGAAGGTTAACTATACATAAGCAAAACAAAAGGAGTTATTAAGGGGGGGGAAACCATGTCTGCATATTGGAAATCCTAAGAGGATAAAAAAGATTGTAACCAACTGGGTCCTGAAACTTATAAAGAGTCAATGATTTTATTGTTTTATAACCCGTAAAGTCTCTATTTGGGAAGGAGTGTTAATATGGAAACAAGTTTCATTTAATAACATGGCATGTTCCTCAACATTCCACCATGAGGATATCTAATGTTTGAATAATTACCCTGTTGAGCCAAGTAATGGTAATGGACGGTGCTTCGAAGAAGTTAGGACTAATGATATTAGAAACAGGAAGCAAGATAGAGTAGGTATATTGCTTGTTCCTGAGGGAAACTTCTAGGGAAGAAAACAATCCCGTGGATTAAGAGGTCGTGACAGAGACATCTAACAGTACAAATCAAGATGAAAACAAAAGCAGCAAGTATAGGTAGAACCATTAGGAGGAAATCCATAGACCATTAGTAGTGGAACTTACCTTTTACAATCTTTAGTTTGATTCTGTATGTTCTTTCGGTTCAGCTGAGGCAACTTCTGGACTCCAGGCTTTTACTTGAGTATGATGGATCCATGAGTCAATACCTGTAACCTTTATTGCTGATGGAGTGGAAAGAAGAACAGTGAGCCATTTCAAAGAAGTGGATAGAGAAGAAAGGGCTTTCACCAGTATCAAGTCTCCTGGACTGAACAGGGGTGGCTCTAAGGCTGGGCCTCTGTTAGTTGTCTTAATTCTCTTGAAAGTAGGCCAAAGAAGTAACATACTTAGTTAAGTCTAAGGTCTTTTAGTCCAGCAGGAGATCAGTGATTAAGAAAGGTTGTCCAGAGAGCTCCCTTACCCCTTCCACCATGTGAAGACACAGTGAGAAGGTCCCATCTATGAACCAAGAATTTCTTACCCAGCTAAGCTAAGCTTCATCGGTTGATCTCCCAACTTCCAGAACTGTGAGAAATCAATTTCGGTTGTTTATATGTTACTTTCCCTGAGAATTGTGGTCTCCAAGCAACAGTGCAGATTGTATTGTATGCCCAATGCCTGGGTGACAGCTGCTTTCAAGGAGGGACCATTTCTTAAGCACTTACCACCTGTGTGTTTTATGGGCATTTTGGAAGCACATATTAAGAACATAGAGCTCTGGGCCTGGCATGGTGGCTCATACCTATAATTCAGCACTTTGGGAGGCTGAGGCAAGAGGATCGCTTGAACCCAGTGATTCGAGACCAGCCAAGGCAACATAGAGGGACCTTGTCCCTATAAAAATAAAAACAAAAAAAGCCGGGCTCGGTGGCTCAGCCTGTAATCCCACACATTTGGGAGGCTGAGGTGAGTGGATTGCCTGAGTCCGCAGGTTCGAGACCCGCCTGGGCAGGCGAGACCTCATCTCTACAATAAATAAAAAAATTAGCCGGGCATGGTAGCGCACGCCTGTAATTCCGGCTACTCGGAAGGCTGAGGTGGAAGGGTCGCCGGAGCCCAGCAGGTTGAGGCTGCGGTGGCCGGGAGCGGCCACTGCACTCCAGTCTGGGCGACAGAGTGAGACTCCAACTCAAAAAAAAAAAATTTTTAAAAAATAGCCAGGTATAGTGGGGCACTGTAGTAGTAGTTCCAGCTACTCAGATGCTGAGGCAGAAGGATCACCTGAGCCCAGGAGGTTGAGGCTATGGTGAGCTGTGATCACGCCACTGCACTCCAGCCTGAGCAACAGAGTGAGATGCACTCCAGCCTGAGCAACAGAGTGAGATCTCGACTCAAGAAAAAACCATAAACAGTAACATACAAACAACTGAAGTTGATTTCTCACAGTTCTGGAGGTTGGGAGATCAAAGATCAAGGTGCCACGCCACAGATTCCGTGTCTGGTAAAGACATACTTCCTGGTTCATAGATGGCGCCTTCTCACTGTGTCTTCACATGGTGGAAGGGGTAAGAGAGCTCTCTGGGGTCTTTTCTATAAGGGCACTAAGCCCACTCATGACCTAATCACCTCCCAAAGGCTTCATCTCCTCTCCTTCCTAATATATCACACTGAGGATTAGATTTCAGCATATGAGTTTTAGGAGGGCGCAAACATTCAGAACATAGCACAGACTGATAGAGATGGAGCTGGAGAGATGAAGAGAGTGTGTGTGTGTGTGTGTGTGTGTGTGTGTGTGTGTGTGTAAATTTTTATGATACTGGGACCATATGGTTCTGGAAACTGCCATCCTGCAAGGTTGGTCTGGCACTGACCTGCTCGGGTTTGGAGTCTAATCAAGCAGCAGGGGATGCTCAGAACTAAGAGGTTAGCCCATGGGGAGGTGGGGTGAAGACACCCTGTAGAGACCACTGGAAGGGGCTAAGCTAGTTAGATGCTTGAGAGTTCCACATGCACTTGCTATCTGGTGCCCAGTGGGGTTTAGTCAATGGGGAGGTCAGGTCCCTGTGGGGTGGCCCATGCTACATATGCTCATGTTCTCAGTCCCTGGCAGGCCCTCGACTCTCTCCTGCCCCCCACCCCTCTATGGCATGGGCTGGTCCTCGGGGGTCCCCAGGGTTTTCAGATGTAGTGCATTACACACCTCCTCCAGCTTTCCTACTCCTGCACACACTTTCTTCATTTTCTTTTTGCCCAGGCTGGAGTACAGTGGCATGATCATGGCTCACCTCAGTCTCGACCTCCTGGGATCAAGTGATCCTCCAGCCTCAGCCTCCCAAAGTGCTGGGACTATGGGTGCGAGCCACCACACCTGGCCCACTTTCTTCATTTTTTTCAGTCCCTTTAAATTACCCAGCTTGAGGCTACCATCGTTTTCTGCCAGAACCTAACTGGCAGGATAGGACTATCCTAAAAGAACTTTTATTATTCACATTTCCTTCTCATATTCATGCCACATACCTACTTTGGGACACCGTGTTGTCATGATGCCACTACTCTTTTTAGGTTCTGTATTTTTCACTGCATGATTTTATGTGCATGTCCTAAAAGTGTGGCATGTGTCAAGAGCGTGCACCATTCCAAGGTGCTCTGGAGAGTCCACGGCCTTAGCCTTTGAGGAGTTACCTGTGTCCTGGCATGTGCGAGCAGCTGGCATGGGTAAAGGGCTTTTGCTGGGATAGCTCATAGGCCCCAGGAGCATGACCTCTTGTGTTCAGACCAGCTTTGGCCTGAGAATTGAGGGTTTTAGCATGAAAATCAGATGATGCCATTGAAGTCCATGTTTTCAGTCACAGCTCTGTGCCAGCCATCATAGGATATAACTTTTCAGCCCAGACCTTTCTTCTCAGTTGCAGTCTCCTTGAGTTGTTATCTGAATGTTTTTTTCTGTTCTTGCAGATCCTTAAAATGCAACACTAATCTCATCTGGCTGCTGGGATGTGAGTTGCAGAAGGCAGAGGTTTTGCTTTTGTTTGTTTGTTGTTTATTCACTCCTGTACAGTCAATATCAAGATCAATTCCTCACATATGATAGCTGCTCAATAAAAGTCTGTTGAATTTTGAAAAAATAAATGTATTGTTATTTTTATAAATAGTATTAAAGACCAGACGCAGTGGCTCATGCCTGTAATCCCAGCAATTTGGGAGGCCAAGGTGGGAAGACTGCTTGAGGCCAGCAGTTCAAGACCAGCATGGGCAATATAGCAAGAATTTCGTTATCTTTTTTTTTTTTTTTTTTTTAGCTGGAGTCTCACTCTGTCTCCCAGGCTGGAGTGCAGTGGCAGACTCACAGCCACCCCAACAACTACCTGCTGGGCTCCAGCGATCCTTCCGCGTCAGCCTTCCAAGTAACCAGAACTACAGGCGCGTGCTACCATGCCCGGCTGGTTTTTGATTTATTGTAGAGATGAGGTCTCGTCAATTTGCCCGGTTGGGTCGAACCCGCAGGCTCAGGCAATCCACTCGCCTCAGCCTCCCAAAGAGCTGAGATTACAGGCTGAGCCACCAAGCCCAGCCCCTTATTGAATTTTTAAACAAATTGTTATTGAGTTTGAGCATGTTGTCAGGCGGAGTCAGCCCTAGAGCAGGTTGGGCAAGGGGACTGCTGGTGGTTGGGGAACAGGGAATGGTGTAGTCTTGGGTGAGGGGAGCATGATAGAGAAGATGCTGTGGTCCTGACTCCAGGGCCACAGAAGATCAGACTTATTGAAACTTAGGTAAGGATCTGGGGGAACTGAGAAGCTCCTGGATGCACCTTCTTTCCTTAGTATCATCCAAACTGAGGATGAGCCCAGATGAGCCACAGTGTCCCTATTCTCACTGCACAACTACCCCCCGTAGTGCCTCTACTGTGAGAATATGCCATGGTACAAGCCTGGCAGTACCATTTTACTGTTGTCATCAAGGGGGAATTTATTGTTGTCATCAAATGAAAGTGCCATTACTGGGGTGGGGAGTGTTAGAGGGTGTTGAGTTTTAACACGTCTTTAATGTGTACTGCACACATTCAAATCAAATTTGTATTTTTTGTTTTGTTTTGTTTTGAGTCAGTCTCGCTCCATCGCCCAGGCTGGAGTGCAGTGGCACACTCACAGCCACCACAGCCTTGACCTGCTGGGCTCAGGCAATCCTTCTATGTCAGCCTCTCAAGTAGCTGGAACAACAGGCATGCACCTCCAAGCTCGGCTAATTTTTTGATTTATTGAAGAGACGAGATCTCATCAAGTTGCCCAGGGTGATCTCATATCACTGGGCTCAGGCAATCCTCTCGTCTCGACCTCCCAAAGTGCTGGGATTACAGGTGTGAGCCACTGCGCTTGGCTCCAAATTTGTATTTTTAAAAACCTGCTTAGGAGGGGGTAAAGAAGGACTTCTTAAAGAAAATTACCCAAATTTGATAAATATCATTACATTACAAAGGATTTCTATTCAATTAAGGAAACAAGAGGCAAATTTAATATATGAAAAAATGGGAGAATATTTTTTAATTAGTATTTTATTTTAAAGATGTGGGTACAATTCAGGATTGGGTACATAAGTAGGCAATGTACAGGAGAGGTTTGGGCCTCCCATTGGTCCTCACTTCGTCTGGTTTAGAATCAGGTACCCTTATTGATGTTAGGTATCCCCCCTTTCCTGGCAGTTTCTGGCTACTGCCAATCCTTTTCTTGTGGTATTATGATAAATGTTCACAGTCCATGTGGGACCATGTGGTGCTCAGTTCTAAGAATTTTTTTTTGAGACAGAATGTCGCTCTGTTATCCAGGTTGGAGTGCAGTGTCATGATCATAGCTTATTGTAACCTCAAATTCTTGGGCTCAAGCTATCCTCTTGCCTCAGCCTCCTGAATAGCTTGAACTACAGGCCCATGCTACCACACCCAGCTAATTTTTTTCTTTATATTTTTGTAGAAATGGTGTCTTGATATGTCACCAAGGCTGATCTCAAACTTCTGACCTCAAGCAATCCTCCCACCTCAGCCTCCGAAAGTACTGGGGTTACAGGTGTGAGCCACACTGTTCCTGGCAGGAGAAGATGTCTTGAATAGAGATATTTTATTCATCAAAATGACTCAACTTCAGTTTAACTAACCAAGAACAATACCTAGTATATTCAAGGAACTCTCAGCAGTCACAACAAAAAGGTAGGAACTCCAATAGAAAAATAGGCAGCCGGGCTCGGTGGCTCAGCCTGTAATCCCGTGCCTTTGAGAGGCTGAGGTGAGTGGATTGCCTGAGCCCGCGGGTTCGAGACCCGCCTGGTCAGCGAGACCTCATCTCGACAATAAATCAAAAAATCAGCCGGGCGTGGTAGCGCATGCCTGTAATTCCGGCTACTCGGAAGGCTGAGGCGGAAGGATCGCCGGAGCCCAGCAGGTCGAGGCTGCGGTGGCCGGGAGCAGCCACCGCACTCCAGTCTGGGTGACAGAGTGAAACTCCAACTCAAAAAAAAAAAAAGAAAGAAAGAAAGAAAAATAGGCAAAGCATGTATCAGGCAGTTCACAAGAGAGATGCTTAGAATCAAATGAAGAGATGTTTGAACTCATTAATATTTAGAGAAATGCAAGTTAAGACAACTACAATGCAAGTTAAGATCAGCATAAATTGAAGAGCTGGGTCATGTCAAGCTTTGGCAGGGATGAGGGGACAGAGTGACTCCATGCCCAGCTGGTGAGAGCAGTTCAGACTTTAGCCGCTCACCTGTTAGTTTCACTTTTCCTCTCACTCCTGGTTCCAGTGGCCTCTGCTCCTGATACTGTGATTCTCCATATTTGTCTGTCTTTTCGGTTTTCATGGCATCGGTTTGCCCTGTGCCCACAATTCTCTGATAAATCCAAGAAGAGTTGTTTTTAGTTTGTTCGGCTTGTTTTCTTGCTATGAGGACGGGAGTGACAACTTCCAAGCTGCAAGGTAGTGCCTGGCAGATGTCTGGGAAGTGGATGCTCTAGGGGTTAGTGGTTAGGGGCCATATGACTAGTGACTGGAATGACTGCGGGGTGACTTTTGTTCTGTGTAGTCTGGGTGGGGTCTTAATCTTATGAAATCTATGCCTTTTGGTGATTAAGGGTCAGTAATTAAGGGGTTTGGGAATCAAGCAAGTGGGTTTCCCGGGGGAACAGTAAATGGAAGCGACTCTGAATCAGTGGCTGTTAATCAACACCAGATTCTGGGGTCAGTGTTGCTGAGCACGTGATGCAGTGATCAGGAGCCTCTGAAAGAGAGCAGATGGAGCATCCTGTGAAGGTCATTTATTGGATGTGGAGGTCATTTAGTGGTCAGTGATTCACAGCCTATCAATGTCAATGACTGCACCTCTAGGAGATAGTTATTGAGAAATAGAATGCATAACTCCTGAATACCTAGAACAACTTCTTTGTAGTATGGGGCCAGATTGTGCATTGTAGTGTGCTTAGCACCATCCCTGGCCTCTGCTGACTAGATGCCAGTAGCATCACCTCATTGCAAAAACAAAACAAAACAAAAAATGTCTGCAGACATCGCCAAATGTCTTTTGGGAGCAGGGAGCAAGATTTCCCCCGTTAAGACTCACTGCTCTAGGAATAAGGCCAAAGAATCACATTGAATATAAATGATTAAACTACCCTAATAATGATTGGCTATGTGAATGAAATATAGCATATCTAATTAAAATGGAAATACTCAAAATGAAATGGGAAGGTTGAAAATGATAAAGTGGAAATTTTTTTTTAAGCATACTAGATCTGATTATGCAGTTCACTATTGCCGATACATTCCAATTTGAGGAAGTGACTGGATGTCTAGAGGTTAAAGATCATGGGAACTCAGTTCTGGAAAATAGAGGAAGATAATGGTGGGGTGTAGTTGTATGCAGGGAAAGTATGAGGTTGGTGGGAAAGAGTGGAGTCTTAATCATGCTCTTAGCAGGCAGTAGATGTTTCTTTTTGAGGATGTCTGTGAAGAGTCAAGCATCCCTGGCCCTGTGGATTGTCTTGATTTTTTTTTTTTTAAGTTGGAGTCATGGTCTGTTGCCTAGGCTGGAGTGCAGTGGCTGGGCTCAGGTGATCCTTGCCTCACTCTTCCAAGTAGCTGGAACTATAGGCATGCACCAACATGCCCAGCTAATTTTTTTATTTATTGTAGAGACGAAGTCTTGCCAAGTAGTCTAGGCTGATCTCGAACCCCTTGGCTCAGGCAATTCTCTCGCCTCTGCCTCCCAAAGTGCTAGAATTACAGGTGCGAGTCAACCATGGCCACCAGCTGTCTTCGTTTCTTCATTTTAAAATGAGGCTTAGGGGCCAGATGTGGTGGCTCATGCCCGTAATCCCAGCACATTGGAAGGCCAAGGCAGAAGGACTGCCTGAGGTTAGGAGTTCAAGGCCAGCCTGGGCAACATAACAAGACATTATATCTACAAAAAAAAAATTCGAGCACCTGTAGTACTTGGGAGGCTGAGGTGAAAGGATTGCCTGAGCCCAGGAAGATGAGGCTGCGGTGAGCAGTGATCATGTCCCTGCAACCCAGTCTGGGTGACAGAGTGAGACTTCAACTCAAAAATAAATAAAGTGAGCTTTGGCCTGGTGACAAGTGAGCTGCTTTCTTCTATCCTTTTTGCTCGTACAAAGTGTATGCATGAGGAGGTAAGGAGGTTGGCAAATCCTCTTCCCAGAAAATATGAGTGCTGCAGAAAAAAGGTGTCAAAAGCAACCTTTTCAGCACTCTGGAATCCGACCAAACGCATACTACAAACTGAGAGGTGTTTTATTCATCAAAACGGCTAAATTTTGGCTCAGCACAGTGCAGTCTGTGCTTTTCCCCAGCATGGCTCCTATCCTCCTCCAACTCTGTTGGTGCCATGGTTCAACCAGAGCAGGGCGGGGCAGGCCATGAAAACAACAAGCCTCTGCTGGAGATGGCTGACAGGATTTGGAACATGGCCACTTTAAGTGACTATCGCTGCTGCAAGCAAATGGAGAGGGCCAGCAACACCTTAGCCTCACCAGACAGACTCTTGATCTGCTGGGAATTTAACGTGGAGATCTGGGAGGTGTGATATCCATGGAAGACTTGATAAATTCTCCCT